AAACCTTTATAGAAGTTTAGTGATCTTATGATATACCGGTGATTGCTCAATGGATTGATTTTGTCAATGCAAAACGTAGTCAGTCATTGGGTTTCATGGTATCTTCAAAGTTCATTGCCTCCAACCCTTTTGCACACCTACTAAGTAAATAATATAGTAAGAGCAAATAAAACCTTAAGATTAGTAGCACCGCTACATGCCTTGGAGCATTTTCTCAAAATTTTAGATTTACTAGAAGCAGTAGTTCTAAATTTTCAATGTTTGCTCAAACAATCTTAAGGTTTTATTCATTTCAACAATGACTACTGAAGCAACGCTCAAGAAATTGGTTTCTAGTTTTGTCAAACTGGATCATTTTGATGGTGGTAATTTTTAAAGATAGCAGAAGAAGATGCATTTCATGCTTTCTACCTTGAAGGTTGTATATGTTCTAACACTCTCAGGTCAGAAAAAAATGAAATAACAGAATCTGTTATTGCAATAAAAGAGAGGCAGAAATGGGATAATGTAGATTACATGTGTAAAGATTATATTCTGAACAATTTGTCTGACAGCTTATTTGATACATACCAAAATGTGGTTATTGCAAAGATGTTATGGGACAAATTGGAGATCAAGTATATGACTGAAGATGCAATTAGTAAGAAATTTTTTGTGAGCCATTTCAATAATTATCATATGGTTTATGGATATTTTATGATTGAACAACTGTGTGAAATTGAAAAAAATGCTTAATCAGTTTAAACAATATAATATGAGTATAGATGAAACAATTATTATGTCCTCTGTAATAGACAAACCTCCTCCATCATAGAAAGACTTTAAAAGAAGTCTAAAATATAAAAAAGAGGAAATCACTCTTAAGGTTTTGGCTTATCATCCTCAAATTGAAGAGGAATACAAAAAGTAAAAACAGAATTCTGGTTCTAGTAATGTCAAAGTTCATGTTTTAGAGGAAAAACAGATTACAAAGCCTAACAAAAAGAAGTTCAAGTTCAAGTAGATTGCTAATTGGCTAAATTCAAGAAGAATAAGAAAAGGCTCATGTTACCATTATGGTAAGCCAAGACATTTTAAGAAAGAATATCGATTGTTATAGAAGAAAATAATTCCTCAAAAGGTGATATTCTGAAAATTTTGTTGTCATGATTTTTGAGATCAACATGCTTGAAAATGATGAATCCTGGTGGGTTGATTCTAGGGCAACAAAACATGTGTGCAAGGACAAAAGCATATTCACAGCAATCAAACCAAGTGAATATGGCAGTGTCTTCTACATAGTAAATTCTTCTACAGTAACAATCAAAAGCAAAAGGACTGTTGACCTTGAATTCACTTTTGAAAAAAATATAACTTTGAATGAGGTTTATTTTGTAACAGAAGTTAAGAAGAACTTAATGTCTGAAAGTCTATTAAACAAGTTTGGTTTTAAACTTGTATTTAAAGTAGATAAATTTATTCTGTCTAAGAGGAAAATTTTTGCTAGGAAAGGGTATAAGTATGAAAGAATGTTCAAACTCAATATTATTAATAAAAATAAGAATGTTATTTATGCTTACATGGTTGAATCTTCATATTTATGGCATTATAGATTAGGTCATTTAAATTATAGAAAATTGCATGATATGATTAAGCTTCCATTAATTCCCGAATTTAGTCAAGACATTAATAAATGTAATACATACATATTGACTAAGATTATGAGAAATCTTTTTCCTAAGGTTAAAAGAAATACAAAGTTACTTAAGTTAATTCACAATGATGTTTGTGATATGTATAGCACTCCTACATTATTTGGAAAGAAATATTTTATCACATTTATAAAAGATTGTACTACATATTATTATGTTTATCTGTTATATTCCAAAAATGAAGTACTTGATAAATTTAAAATATATAAATCTGAAGTTGAACTTTAATATGAATCTTTTATCAAGTGCTTGAGGTTGGATAGGGGTGAAGAATATTATAGTCTAAGTTACTTTGAATCCACCGGAATAATCCACCAAGTTACTACTCTTTATACACCATAACAAAATGGTGTAGCTAAAAGGAAAAACAGGGTCTTAATAGAAATGGTAAATGCAATGTTATCATATTTTGTTCTTGGACAAGAATTTTAGGGTGAAGCTTTATTAACAACTTATAATATACTAAATAGAACTCTTAACAAAGAAACAAAAATAACCTCATATGAGCAATGAAAGAAAAGAAAATCAAATCTTAATTATTTAAAGGTTTGGGGATGTAGAGCTATAGTTAAAATTCTAGAACCCAAAAGGAAAAAGTTAAGTGAAAAAGGAATAGAATGTATATTTATAGGATATGCACAAAATAATAAAAAGCATATAGATTCATGGTTATTGAACTAAATGATTCAATTTTAGTTAACACTATTATTGAATCAAGAGATGCAATTTTTGATGAAAATAGATTTAAATCTATTTCGAGATAACTGTAAGCAATTCATCTTACAAGTGAAAAACAAATTTAAAATCCATTGGAATAAACTAAAATTAGTGATGAATCTTAGTAGCTTTTAATTTTAAGATGTGTAAATGTATTCTAATTTTTTAAAAAGTATAATGATTTTTATTTATATTTAATTTTTTATATTGTTATATATTTTTATTTCATATGTTTAATATTATTTTTTAAAATAATATTTATAATTGTTTAAGTTTTATTTCTTTAAATATTAAATATTTTTTAATATAATTGTCAATATTTAGATTGAATAAATTTTTAAGATTTTAAATATTAAATAAATAATATTAAAATATACATAAAAATAATTTTTATTACAATTTTAGATTAATTTTCTTAATTGTAATTTTCTCTTCTAATTATAATTCACTTTATTCTCGTTATTGTTTTTACATCTATATATACTTATATATATATATATGACTACTATTTTAATCTCATTAATGTTATAACTAATTAAATCATTATAATAATTAATTTTATTTTCATCATTATCTTTAATATCACTGCACATCGAAAAGAAACTTAGTCTGCACAAATAATATTATAATATCATTACACACGTGAAATCTTTGAACACATCATAGCCATTGACTACGGGTTATGGACCTATAATTCGCTGTAGAAGAGTCCCTAAAACAAAATAGCCATTGATTATGGACCAATGATCTCAGTGTAAGAGAGTCCAAAACGAAGTTATTGTAGCCAAGTCACTGTATCAAGTTATTGTAACAAAAAATCAAAGCCAAAAAATGTCAGGTCCTCATCGTTGATTGAACACCAAGAAGGGTTTGAGGGTCATATGAGTCTGCTAAAATACCTTTCTTTCTTCAATCCCCTTTCACTTCCTCGTATGTACAAATTTTCTTGCTTCTTACACAGCATTTTGTGTTAAGTATTCTAAAATAGGATTGAAAGTAGATTAGAATTTAAGGTTAAGATTATTTTAATTAATTATATTCAATAATTATTTTAATTTATAATAATTATGGTCTAAGAGTTTGTTATTATCTTAATGTGTCGTGGTTCTATATATTGGAAACAAACATAACAGCAAAAAATTAATAAAATTATGTATCTGAATTCTGCGTAAAACTCTCTTTCTTATCACCAATTTTCAATATGATTTAACATAATTCCTTTAGTTAAATCTTGAGGTAAAAGTCAAGACTCATCATATAAAAAAGTGGTGTCAGAGCATATTAATATGTAAGAACAATGTTTGGAAAAGTTGGAGAAAGACATGAGCAAGATTATGGAGATATTTCAAGCTATATGAATTCAATACTGGATCAATTAGTCTTCAATTAAGAGCGGGTGTCTAAAGAAAAGTTGGTTGTTAATGGTGAAACTTCTTCAAGCCATTTGAAACAAATTTCAACAAGGATATTAATTCCCAAACTCACTAAACTCGACTTCCCTCAATTTGATAAGAAAGAATATCTGACTAGCTAGATTTGTCAGGTTGAACAGCTTTGTGAATTTCAACAAATTGCAAATGAAGAGAATGTGCCTCATGCAACATATCACCTTAAAGGTGACACTCAACTACGGCATCTGTTATTAAGGATGAGTAGTCATTTGGAAAGGATTGAAGAAAGGTTGCATGCTCCTTATTGACTTACTCAATTTGAATATTTCTTTCAGAATCTTACGAAATTAAAGCAAACCATCATAGTTCTTGATTATCAAACTCAATTTGCAAAGTTGACAGTGGATCGAAAAAAATGACAACTTGTCAAGAGATTGAATGTTTTGAGAGAGGTTTTAATAATCACCTTCGAGCATATGTGCAAGTAATAATGCCAGCTTTTCTCACAAATGTTATGGGATTGACACGATTATATGAAGCAAGTTTTAGCTCAATTTACCGCTTTTCATGAGGAAAAAAAAAGTATATATATATATATATGACGCTTGCATTTAAAATGTTATCCTCTAATGAAAAACAAGAAGAGATAAAAGTTTATATTTTAATTGTGATAAAAAGTATAAGTCATGGCACAAATATAAAAACCTATTTTTAATTAAAGATGATCAGAATACTGATGACGGTGAAATTATTGAAATGGTTAAACATAAATTAACTTTTACGAATTTGACTCTTTATGGACAAAGATGCTAATGTTACGTACTCTAAAATAGCAATAAAAGCTATTCAAAGTTAGGATAAAGATTATAATTAGAATTTAAAGTTAAAATTATTTAATCAATCATCTTCCATAATTATTTTAATTTAAAATTATCATTAGTTTAAAAGTTTTTTATTATCTTTGAAGTGTTATTTTTTTGGTAAGTAAATTCAAAAATAAACTGTTTAATTTTTCGAATCAAGATAAAATGTATCAAATTTAACAACTTAAGACAAATAATTAAAAATCGTATGTTAAAAATGATCCAAACAAATTACCACTAATTAAACTCGAACTTAAAACCTCTTCGTAATAAAAAATTAAATCTTAACCGATTGAAATAACCAATCGGTGATATCTTAAAAGTGTTATGACTCTTTATATTAAAAGCTAACATCTAATATAAGATAGTAAAAAATTAATAAAGTTGTATTTGTTAGTTTTACATAAAATTCTCTTATCACCAATCTACAGTTTGATTAAAGATAGCAACTATAACCAAATCCCGAGGCAGAGGTCAAAACTCGCATAACACTATGTTTCATGAAGTAAATGCAAAAGTTATGGGAAAAATACTAATCAACAACAAATTAATCAAATTGTTTTAGTAAGCGTCTTGAGCTAGGCCATATTGGCAAAGCCAAGGCTGAAAATAAGGAACAAATGTCATGAGAAAGTCCTTTTGGGAGTCAATTTTGGATGAACAAATGTATGCATTTTTGGGAATGAGTCGCATCAAAATCTTCAATCAAGAATTGAGCCAAATAATAGCATATCCATTGGCAATCAATCAACTTCCATTGAACACAGCTGAGTTGCAAGCTTCACCACTCCCCACATGGGTGTGTCATTCTGCGAAAAGAAACATGACTAGCAATTAGCAAAATTGTTGCCTGCCAAAAGCCTTTCTCAATTTTCCTATCTTCTTCTATGGCATGAGCACAATGCACATAAAAATAACAAAAATGCCTATGTTCATGCTTTACAACAAGAGTAACACTGTCTCTACAGAAAGACAACATTGGACAAGCACTTCGACACTTTGAATACCGGAAGGAACCAGCTTGATCAGATGAGGACAGCCTTATGGGCAACATATTCATCCCAGAGACAGATTAATTTCTCTCTCCAAAAACTCACACAATACTCTTCCATTTTTTATTTAGTAAGGAAAACATCCCAAAATGTTAATGCAGCAATCCAGTGATATAATATATATATATATATATATATATATCTATACACACACACGAGGGGAATGAAACCTAATAATAGTTGACTTACCAAGTAAACAATATCAAAGGCATTGCAGTAGTTCTCAAGATTCTTCTCAATGTTGTCATTCCTGGAAAGTATTTCATAGAGATAAGCAGTTACATAATATCTTACCAAGAATGTATCAAAATTGTTCTCAAAAGAGAAAGCGAAATCACAATAATAATGATTAAAGAAGACAGGAAAACAAACAGTAGTGAGAATATATCATATGTCACAACTAAATAACATGGTAGGGGAAGCACCCAGTATCTTTTTTTCTTCTAATGTAGAAAGTTCATATGCAGGAATTTAGGATAAATAGTTACAAGCTGTCTGATTGTAGGCTAGTTGTAACAAAAGACAAGACTCCACCATACAATTCACAATGACATTCTCTCAATCTAAGTAGGGTCATGAATAAGGATACTTTTAGAATCTGAGAATTTTTATAGAATCAGTTCTTTTGTAGAAAGTTTAAATGCCGCTTTCATTACTGTTATCCCAAGAAAAGTGGGCTCCTAAACCTCAAAGACTTTCAGGCTTTCAGCTAATTAGTCTTGTAAAGTGCTTATATAAGCTTATTGCAAAAGTTTTAGCAAGGAGATTGAAGAAGCAGTTGCAGAAGTTGTAGGCCTTTTCCAAAAAGCTTTGGTGCAGAGAAACCAAATTCTTTGTGCAGCCTTAATTGCTAAAGAACTGGTGGATAAAATGACAAAGTAGGGTAACAAGAAGGTGACTTATATGTTTGATATAGGAAAAGCTTATTGGATTGGGACTTTCTTGTCTTTGTCATGGAGATGGGCCTAGTGGAGAGATGGTGAAGTTGGATATGCAGATGAATTGCGACCACAAAGTCTATATTTGTGAATGGGGGATGGCGTCTGGTTATTTTCATTCTTTGAGAGGTTTGAAGAAAGGTTGACCCCTTACCCTCTTTTGTTCATCTTGCTGTTGGAAGGACTCAGTAAAATGCTGCTTAGGGCCTTGGAGACCACACTTATAAATGTCTTGCAAGAGGGACTAGGGAAACTAGCATCTCCAATGAACAAAGGGAAGCTCACTTGACGATTTTGTATCTTCTCTTTGCTGATGAAATGATCATTTTCTTGTGGGCAAAGAACGTATAGACAAGATGCTCTAGACAAGGAGCAGTATCACATTTAGTGGATGGGGGCATGGGGCAACTGACCCTGTGACTATACCATATATATAAATATATAATATATATTGTCAACTTTGGAGAATAAGAAGGTTAAATTTCATAATTTTGGACTTTTGACCTTACTCCCATAAAGTTGGTCAATACAAACTTTAATATGTCAAAGAAAAGTCTAAATGAGCAATAAAATATATCTATACGAGTTATGTGACACCAACCAGTTGGTGAATTAACAAAAAAAAAAAAGTCAAAATAAACTAACAATAACAATATAAAGCTAGGGGTATTTATGTCCTTTCATTTTTTAGTAAAACACACTATTTGTTACACATGAATTTGAGGAAAAAAAAAAGAAAAAGAAAAGAGAAACTACCCCTCCTATCACGTACCATTTTGCTTCCAAAACAATTGTCATTTTTTTCCTTTTCACCCCCATAGTAGTTGTACCAAAATCAAGTATATATAATGTCAAGCAATATTGTAGTCTACTTGCCTGTAACGTTAACTTTGATGATATTTTTTACTATAAGTGTAAAGACAGTATCTTGTAGTTAAAACCATTTCTTTTCTATAATGTTTTCTGCATTTATTAAAAAAGGAGAAAAAATCAATTGAGAGAGTGAATGACAATTAACTTTTTAGTTCTCTTCTTTTTCCTAGCAATTTCCCTTTACCATGTGTTATAACCTTTGCAAACTAACTCCTAAGTTTGATTGCATAGAAAACCTAAGCAAAATTGCATAGGCTTCTTCTATTTTATTTAATGTTTCTGAGGGATGGGGGTGTTCATCTTGCTTATTTTCTTTATCCATAGATCTGACTTTAGTTCATCAGAGTCATTTTCTTTGTTTCCAGCACCTACATATTCACAAATCTTTTCTTTTACTTCCCTACTGTCAAAACTTTACACTCTAAATCATCGTTCAAACCTTGAACCTTAAAACAAATGAAACTTTATGTTGAATGTAAAGATCCTACATCAAGCAAAGCAATCTATATTGGATCAAGAAGTTCGAAAATAAACCATAATAAGCATCTAGGCAGTATTTTTTCCTATTTTAACATTCGGTACCATACATAGGCCTGTATATTTTAACCACCTATCAGAGTAAAGTAAAAACAGATATATGATTATGAAGAGCGCAAGTAGTGTTTTACTTACAGAAACCCCACAGATATTCGATTCTCATAATTCAAGCCATCAGACATTCCCAAATCACCAATGTGATCACCTAAAAGTAGCACATTAGTCCTCTGCTTCACTGAGGCATTGTCAGAGACTGGCCCATCAATGTTACCCAATTGATCATGAAGAGGTGCAGCCATATCAAGAGCATGCTCATTTTTATTCAGACTGTGAATTAACTTCCCTGTAGATATGGAGTGTGAAGGCAGATCAGAACAAAGTAACATACAGAGCACTTATCACGGTCATTAGATATTATCTGCATCATATTGCAAAACAGTATCTACATGAACATACAAAATGACAAGATAGATAGTCTAAGTTTTTTCAAAATTCAAATAAGTATCTACCAATCAATTGCTCCACAAGGGAAGAAAAAGGATAACTTGCATGATATATGAGCCATAACTTAACCCCATAGAACTACTATAGCTATCAATTTCATCAAACCCGACACCTCCCCTTGCGCAAGTGTTTCTCAAGACTCAAGTAGAGGGATGAAGCTGAAGTGATAATTGCAAATTAAAAAATGGTACCAGAAAGCGCTGGAGTAAAAACAAAATAATCTGAAATATAATTCAGTGATCTCTCTTTGAACAAATAGAAACTACAACATTGGGCGGAAGACCCAATAAGCTTTGTTATTGTATTAGCAGCAATAATTCCAGCAGAGGACAATGTAAATAAAGATACCTTTGAAAGATACAAGGCGGCCACAGTCGTCAAACACCATCCGGTTTGAGACAATCTTAATGTTCTTAAAAGATCTATGAATTTTCTGCCTCAGGACCTGATAAAGTAAGAAAAAGATACGACAATGCATAAGGTGTAGATTAGGCCCAAAGCCAATAACAGATGATCACAGCTGCACAACAAAGCAAATTTTGCCAGACTAACCTCCTCTATAATATCTGCAAGCCCTGCTGAAAATATGAGAACCGGGACATCTTTCTCCTACATATTCCAGAGGAAAACCATGAATCTGAGGCACAACTGGACAAAATAATATCCTAGGCTTACATGCAAACAAACAAGCAAGCAAAAATTTTTTGAATTTATTAAAAACCTCCCCTTTTCTATTTTCTATTTCAATTTCTGGACTGGACCATTATAGGATGAATTTTTGCAATTTATCTATAAAAACAGATCACATAGACTAGCAATGATGTCTATGATGTGATACAACCATGGAAGAAGAATCTTTATTCCTTTGATATCTATAATTTCGGTACTAGGAATTTAGAAATCTATTTTGTAAATTCCTGCTATTTTCAAGTACAAGGGCAGAATAGCTATTTTCAGGTACAAGGGCACCACGCTAGTAAAATCTAAAAATACTTTTTTAGGTCTTCCACCATAATCCCTAAGGAGATAGAGAAGAAATCTGTCCTATATCATTATGTCAATGATACTAAAGGGATATAAAGAATTGGAATTGACATTCAGGTCAAACACAATGACGTAGAGACGGTTTAAGGTTTTCATTTCGGGTGGAACATAATGATATAGAGCCACTTTATGGTTTTCTTATCATACCTGAGTATCATGAAATAGCCCTCACCCCAACACAATCATCCTTATCAGCAAACCAGAATGGAAGTTAGTACTGTAAGAGCTATGAATTAAAAAAGAGAAAGCAAATCACACTTAGCTAGTTTTTGCAGAAAAAACGTCTTCCTATTTTTAACTAGCTGAGATCTTTGGTATTTACCAGTTATACTATGAATTGTTAATGACAAATTCAAAAGACAGGATAAAGGGAAAGGAATGTTGGAGTTGGTAAGATCAGGTACTTAAGAGGGCACTTTTTCCGCATCAGCGTGATAAAGAATAAAAGAATTATCTGCAGTAGTTCTTCATAAGTATGCACAAAAATAATATGAATAAAATATCTCATTCAGATTTTCTGTTAACTGTTTCACACATTCCATGATTCTTAATGCTTCTTTTTGAACAAGCATTTAGGTCAGTGTATTTGGATTTGTTTTTTCAAAAGATTGTAGGAGTGTGATAAGCAACTAGCAATCATATAAATCAATAACATTAACTATACATGGGTATTTAAAAGAGTGTAGGGAAATGCATGTAAAATTAATTATTCTATCTATGTATTTTAAATTCACTCCATAAAGATCTAACAAATTTATGAATTTAAATGTAACAATAAAATTTTCATAAGTACAATCACGCAATTTACACTAAATTTTGAAACCTAGATCCTTCCTATAAAATGTTAGTTACCCAAATGCAAACTAGAAAGAAAATAGTAAAAAAAAAAATCATTTAGATAAAGAGGTACCTCCAAAAACTCAAAGAGTTCAACGACACCATCCCTAAAGGCAATATTAGAGTTAGCAACAGAGTTGTTTATTGCATCATATGTCAGGCCTCCTTCAATGAGAAGACCATGCGTTTTCCCCCACCTTCAAGGGTTAGAATCAATAACATTACTTGCTTAAAACATACACGAAATCCAGACGATGCAAAGCTAAAGGTTTTCTATTTCCTTGTTTAAATAAACAACAAATAATTCACAAGAAACATGAAATAAACCATTCCTATCATTCACAGCCTTATAAGCTACTAAAACAATGGATGGTTGATTAACACACCATTCTTCCATGAGCTTGGTTTTCTCTTCAAGTGGAATTGTCGGAGAGAACTCTAATGGATGATAGTATTCATATAACGCTCGTCTCTTAGCATCATACTCAGGATTTCCTTGCTGCAAAAGCCCATGACTGCCTATACATATTATATTAGAGCAAAAAAAAAAACCAAAAATTCATAATATAAAGATAGAACCAAAACTTACTTTGTCCACGCTGCCCATTGATCCGGTACCTCGTCAATGTTGCATCAAAATCTGCAATAACCTGAAATTAAAATTCTTTTATAAGAATCAAACAAACAAAAAAATCTAGGCTCAATTCAATTTTAAATAAATAAAATAAATGAACTTCTATTGGAAATTAAAAATAAATAAATGAAGAACCTGGAGTTTAGAAAGGCCAGCATTGCGAATGGCGGAAATTTTATCGTTGAGTGATTGAGGATCACTGATTACAGTGAATTTAGATAGATTATAATCCTCCATTTCTATTTTTTTCTTGTTATTTTTACTGCAACACTGAACCCTATCAAAGAAAAAGAAAAGGAAAATGGAAAATGGAATTAGGGAGGAGAGAAAAGAAGGGGGAAAATGAAATGTGGGTCAAATTGTGGAGGAGTTTGCCTGGGATTATGGAAAAAGCGTAGTTTGGAAAGGAAACTGCACTCAGTGTTGATAATGCTGCTGCTTCGAAGCCGGTAACTCATTCGACACTCGACACTCGACACTCGACTAAAGTGTGTCATTTTTTTTATAAATTGAAAAAATAAATTACTTGTTTTTATAAAATAAATAAAGAAAAACTCTAAATATATCCCCGTATATTACTCCTAAACTCCACTATTAAATATATTTCAAATTCAAAATTAAAATTTCTATTTCTACTAAATACATCATATCCCTCCACAGCTCATTTTCCTTTCACAACTTTAAACCATTCTCTTTTCTTCTCTCTTCATTCTTAATCCAAAATTAATACTAAATTTATTCAACAAATCCTAAAATCACTTTTTTTTAGTCCTCTATTGATTACAAGTAAGATTTCGAGATTTAACTCTTTTGATTTGATTTAAATGCATGAAAAAATAAGTTAGAGTTTACAATTTCAACAATGTAGAATTCGAGTTTTTCATAAATGAAATTTGAGAATGGATCAATTCATATTCCCATTTTAAAATCAAGTTGTTTTTTGTGTAAAGAAAATCGATCCCTTATGCAAGGAGGATCGCTCCTATCCAAACTTGAGAGCTTACATGTTTTTAACAAGGAAGAAAGTTTATTTTTTATCTCAAGTCATTTTTCATTTAAAAAATAATGCAAAATTTTTTTTTTAGTTCGAAGCAATTTATTTCAAGTTTTAACTTTATTGTTTTTCATTTCAAGTAAATCAATAATAGTAGTGATTAATATTGGACCATCAATAATTATTTTTCTTTCAAGTTTAGGGTTTGTTAAATGTATTCTGTAAGCTTAATGAGTTATTATTTTTTGTTACAGATATTGCTTGTACACAAAATGAAGGTAATCTTAACAGAGGTAAATGTATCAAAGCGGATCTCAATTCGATTCAGAGGCGTCCAACTACCTTTAAGAGGAGACACTAGGTGGAGGATGATGAGTTGCAGGACCATATAATAGATGTCATCCCTTAAGTTGAGCTTTTTCATGCATTATGAAAAGGCTACAACACTTGCCACACACAAGTAGATAAAGTCATTTCCTAAAGGTCTAGTTGATACATTGATTTTTTTTAGTTTTGAATCTCATATTGCAATACAAATTTAGAGGTCTAGTTGATACATTGATTCTTTTGAGTTTTGAATCTCATACAAATTTCGTGTTAGTTTATGTCTTTAGAGTGCCTTAGTTGATTGTTGTTATTGATGTTATTATTCATGTTGTTGATATTAGTGATATTATTGTTGATTTTATTTTTTTTTTGTTGTTATTGTTATTGGTACAAGAGCGAGATAAATTGAAATCGATTAATCATGGGTTGAAGTTATAGCAATGGCATCTAGATGATGTACGCATGTGTATCTAAACCAATATCATCCAGTCGAGGTTCTATTGCACCTATTATACCATCAATAACGCAACAGTATCAGCTTTTGTTGAGAGGTGACAATCAAAGACAAACACCTTCTATATGCCATTTGGAGAAATGACCTTTATGTTGGATGATATGTTCACCCTTCTACACATACTGATCACTAGAATTATGGTTTCAGTGAATTATTTAATGATCGATAAGGCAAACACAATATTGGTGAGGTTACTTGGAGTTTCTACGAATAAGACTAGAGTTAAGGCTACATGGTCTAAAGGATTTGCTATTCGACTCCAATGGTTGTTGGATACTTTTAGGCTTGACACAAATGCATAAGATAATGAAGCGGTTTATGCATCTCGGGTTTTTCTACTCTATTTGCTAAGGTGTACGCTATTCATTGATAAGACTGCGATTAGAGTATTGGTAGCATACTTACCTTTACTGACTAATATCATTACCATGGGTAGATTTGCTTAAGGGACAACTTACCTCACTTATTTGTATAGGCAGCTTGGCATTGCAAGCAAGGCAAACATGCAACAAATCACTGGATATCTACCACTTCTCAGGTATGTATTTATAATTAATCAAAAATATATTATAATTATTTGATTTATTTATTATTACTTATATATGTGATTATCTAATTAAATATTACTTATGTATTTCATGCAGCATTGATTTACGAACATTTGTCATCATTGAGCCAATGACCATATTGACATACTTAGACGATTTAGCGCATGCTCAACGATGAAGGCTTGTATTTATTTTGATACATTGCAAGCCTTACAAGAATGCCTATATGGGTTAACATTATCTTACGTGTGCTGAGAACTATATGTCGATCGATGATAGGCACATCCATTGCATGACATTACCTTTTTTATTGGATGCATCAAGTGTGGGCAATCATAGAGCCGTATCATTTGGAGAGGGTTCTATAATAGTTCAGATTTGTATAAACTATATCTCTAACCTTTTTAGCCCTATCCCATTCTAATCTAAGAGCATCATCCAAACAGTACAATGTTGCATATCAATTTTTTTTTACTGAATACATTACCTTTTTTACTGAATGCATCAAGTGTAGGCAATCATAGAGTTGTATCATCTGGAGAGGGTTTTATAATAGTTTAGATTTGTACAAACTATTTCTTTGACCTTGTTAGCCTTATACTATCTAATCTAAAAGCATTGTCCAATCAATACAATGTTACATATCAGTTCTTGCACTAGTACTAGGATAAATGGGATATGCATGTTGTGTCAGTTTAGCATCGAGGCTAGAGATGTCAAAGATTGTGAAAGTGTTCATCTGACTATGATGCTTGATTCGTAGCAATTTTACACCACCAAATTCAAAATCTAGAGCAACGATCTGAATTCCAGTCTCAACTGGTAAATACTGCACCAATCAATGATTCAATAAGTTATAAATTTTATAATTTTATGATTTTTTATTACTTTGTTAATTTTAATCATATGATATCAATACTAATAACCTTATTAATATTTTGTAGTGGAGCTCAGTTGCTTTAGCTTTTGTTGAGCACGTATTGTTTAGTGAATTTGATCAGAGTATTGACGTATAGAAAAATACAATTGTCAAAGTACATGTCTTATTGTCCCATCATTTATTGCAATAGGCAACATCAATTAGTTTAGATCGGTATCAACTGTTGTAACATTAATTCATGCATTTAGACTACCTAGACTAGATAAGCCTTTCGTGCCTACTTCAGCCCCAGTCCCATTGGCACTAGCATCTTTGAGCTTGCTCATGCCCACTCCATCCCTAATCCCATAGCACCTCTCAGCCCACTTGTGCTCATGCCATCCTCACCATCAAATGTAGTGACCACAATATCATCCTTACCTGACTCTTTCCCCTAAAGAGATGACAATATCAATCCTGCCAGAGAGTTTCACATAAACAGTAGAGCCTACTTATCTATCACATATATATCTTTAAGTCAAGACGACGAGGGATAGGGATTGATGTATTTATTACTGTGAACTAATACTTTATGTAAAATTGATTTTATATTTTGTTAAGTATGTTTATATTTAGTTTATATTTATAAAATATCCATTAGATTACCTATTCAATATAACACATCCCATTAGATATCAAGTTCAATATATAAAGTATAAATAAATATATAAAACCATAAACATTAATATATAATTGTTAACAATTATTACAAAAAATAATCAATCAATGCGTATTATTTCTTGAGTAGTCATATCAAAATTTGTACTAAACAATAACTTGAAATCTTTAATGCAGGGTACATATAGAACTCCCACCCATAAGCACAATTATATTGAATCCAATGCAATTGCATGCAATATGAGGTATTGGTGAAAATGACTTCATTAACACTTACATAAAATATGAACATTATTTATATAATATCATTAACACTTGCATAAAAAAAAATGATAAATATAAACAGTAAATGACAACACTAATTAATAGTACTTGCACAAAATAACAATCATTAATAAATTCAATCATAATTACTTTATACTTCAATAATACATGAGGTACAGATTTAGTAGGAAGATATGTCAGGCACTATCTTCAATTGATATGGACTAACATGATGTTATATCGAGAGGTAATCAAATGACTTATATCAGGTAAGGTCATCAACTTATTACATGAAGTAAAAGTGTCAAAACACGATAAAGTTTCTAATAATTCCTCAACATGCTCTATAGATCTATACAAGGTCACATAATTACCTCAAAGCTAATTAAACACTTCAATTAAATTTTATCACACATATACCTAACCATCTAATATCAATCCAAGAAACTCAACAATAAAATGAAAACCACAATGTCCATCTACCCCAACATTAATGATGCTCTGCATATATGAATGTAACTCCATTGGCAAACTATCCAAATATCACATTTTTCATTTATCACGAGGCCAGTGAACAAGAAGTTTAGCAATTTGTGTTGTTGGTTTCATTGATTTTGATTGCATTATAATTTTAGCATTTTTTTACCTATTTTTAGTGTAATTTCTCTTGCATTTTGGCTTATTCCTTAAGAATTTTGGCAAAAATACTCCTAAATGCATAAATGTTCAATGTGTAGGTGAAAATATGAAAAAGAAAAAAAAGGAATTTTGGAGATTTTAGACTCATTTTAGAGGATTTTTGGTGATAAAAGCTAGAAAAGGGCAAAATTTGTGTGCTTGTGCTACATTGGCATCTGTGGGAGTTTTTCTTAACTCTTTCTTTTATGATTTCTTTAGATCAATTGAACTTAATGAAACTTTATTTCAAGTCTTGATGCTTATGCCTTTCATTTAGAAATGTTTTTCTTAGCTCATTAGTGCATTGTTACCATTTTAGTATTTTCATAAGTACTAGAAAGGTAATATGTGCACTAATGTAGTTAAAAAGCTATTTTTGGGCTTGTAATTTTCTAGAATTTTTCCAAGGTTTATAAGGCATAATTTGTCCATTTAATGGTCTGAATTTTGGTAGCAAAATGAAAGAACATATTGTTGTAATTGGAGTTAAAAGGAAAAAGCAAAGATGCAACAATAATTGTGGACA